TTTAAAACAAATAGTCATTAAATATTACTTACTTTTGACATACAAATAATTAAATAATGAAGTGAATCATTCTAAATATATTCTAATGTTATTCTAATTAATGATAAATGCATTTTAGGGAGAAAAGACATTAAATAAATTTGCCTTGAATATGTCTCTGGTCATCTCTTGGATCCAGATATTGCTTTTATAATAACAGACCTGGAAATACTATAGTGGGCTTGCTATAAATAAAAAGGTTAGGTATACCTACATTTAAAGCAAGTTGTGACCCTAGGTATAGGTCTAGGGTTGTGACAGGTAATATTCGTAATATTTTAAAGGTTAACATGGCTGATTTGTGTTTTATTTGTAATAAGTTACTTTCTGAAGGTGATTCTGAGACTTTTGTGCGCGGTATAAATACTTTGACTTTTGTGAACGTTCATATTGAGTGTCGAAAATTGTATGCTATAGCGTACTATAGTAAAATTGCAGCAGCAAAGAGACTTGAAGAGACTGGACCTTCAACGTCATCAACTGTATCTCGTAAAAAAAGGGAATGATGTGTTTGATTTTAAAATATTGTGCTTATTTTTTGGTGAAGTCGCAGATGAGGCAACAAAGGCAAAAAAAATCTGCAAAGTACAAACGCGTTATAAGTAAGTTTTTGAAGATATGACAATTTATGTCAATGATAACGAGGAGAGTGATGATAAGAATGAGTCTGAAATTGCTGGCCAACCTGAAGAAGACGAGGATGAAGAAGATAAAGATTAATAATAATAATAATAATATTGATATAAATAAAAACATTTTTCGTACTCTGATCCAATTATCCTTCATTAAAATTAAATTAAAATATAAGATATATAACGAAGATAAAATATATTTGATTTAAAAGAAAAATAAATAGGTATAAGTATAAGGTATTATATTTTTATTTTAGTAATATTTATTATATAATTAATTAAAAAACGGTATAAGATTGTGATTCACGATGTACCTTGCGCTAAAGGTACGTATGGCTGAGCGCTCCACACTATGCGCCCTCTATTTCAAAAACGGTTCGACATATAACAAAGAGAATTTTATTCTCTACAACTTTATTAATAAATGCAAATACGATAGGAGGCAGATAAAACGAGATATTCTCAAAAAACTGATTTTTGCGACCTTTGACCTTGAATATCTAAGGCCGCTCACACGTTGGCATATGTGACTTTTGAGACAACATTTTGTAATGCTAAAATAAAGGTTTTCACAAAAATTCAGCTTATTCCGTTAGATTCCGAGGTTGATCCCTTTTTTTTACTAAGATGACTGTACTATATAAGATGTTTTATTTTAACCAGTTACCTAAAAACTAAAATTTAAAGAAATATTTATAGATTGTGTAAATTTTTTTTCAACACTAACATTTAAAATACATACATATAACTTTTAACTATTCAGTGCCTTACTAAAGGGACCAAAATAATAGAACAACACTAACTTGGTTTAAATTGTGTAAGAAACCGACAAAAAACTGCATAACGCATTTTTTATACGTTTAAATTAACTCTTTATTAATTTCACTTATTATACAAAATTTACCAAAGAAATACGCAAAAATAATATTTATGAAATATTTTTTACAGTTCTGACACTTCTCCGCCAAACATGAAAGCCATCTAAACTTACTTCGAATATATCAAATGGTGTAACATTGTTGTTTTTAATTTTTGACGTTTCATTATAGCCCGCTGGGTCATAATAACGCCCGCGGGCTATAAAAAGACGTTTACGTCAATGAATTTTTGTTATAATTGTCATATTATAATGTCATCGTGCATAAAACAATATTATATCGCTACTAAACGGGCATTAAAAAAAATAATATATCTTTTCAAGGAATAAAAATAACAAAACAAGACTAACTGGACTGAAAAATAATTTTAAGAATTATCAAGTTTCAATAATTTTTTTAATAAAGAAAATGATAGTCTAGAAACTTAAAATAATAGTTGTTATTGTATAAATACTTGATACCTGAAAAAAAAACTTTCTAGATTTAGTATAGAATAGGCACAGGAGCCAGACAAAAATCACAAAAATTGGCAAATTATCATGAATCTTTAGTGGTTTACCATTCTTTTATGAGATTAACTAATTGGATAATAAAAATTTATATCGAAAACACAAAAATTAAAATCATTTCAATATTTGTCACAAAAAAAAGTTCTGGCCCACTATAAGAGAGTAAGAAATTGACACGATTTCAGATTTCTAAAGGGTGCCGATTAAAAATAAAGAATCCAAAAATTAAAACGGCAACGGATTTTCATATTTGATAGGTACCTAAAAGATCATCCTCAATTTTTTTTATCAAAATAAAAAATCAAGCAGCGCACCCCATTTGGTGTTTTTATTTGGAATGACTCTAAAATTTAATTTTAAACTTATTTTCAGATAAAGAATTACTTTTTAGTTACAAAGTTAATTCTTACAAAAAATTAAAAATTAAAAACTTATAAAATGATCACATTCTCCTAAAAAGCAAAAAAGCTTGCTAGATTATAAAGACCTGTTGTGTGGCCTAATACCCAATTGGTTAGAACGGGGCGAAGGCATAAACATCATTGACGTCCATTAGGACAGAGGCAAGGATCCCGGAATGTGTAACGAGTCGTAACCCCACCTTGAATATTTAGGTCGTGATCCTCCCGGTACGCGGGGGCTTTAAAGTGGAGCGCGTTACGCACTTCAAGGGTATCTGCAGCCCCTCTCTCGAGACGTCAGTGATGGGAACAAATTGTACAGAACCAAGTTTTTAAGGCTCGCCAATTTTAGTCTGTTTTTAGTCGAGTTATTCTCGGAAGAAAAGTTTCGGATAGAACGGGTTTTAAGATATGAGACAATCTTTTTTATATAGTTGCTTGGTTTTATAGCGAACTGAGGTGTCTATATAAGAAGGGGGTTTTCTAATGAATAAGAGTAATTTGTGATACAATTAGCATTTTAATGATAATTATTATAATGACAATAAAAAATACATTTAAGTTTCAAATAGGTAAAACTTTATGTTTTATGCTGCACATTAAAAGTCCCTCTTTGACATTTGAATACACATAAATGTTGGTTTAAGGGTAATTTCTATTGTATATTTGATCGTTACAATTGAGGATTTCTTTTATGACCAACGAAAAAAATAAAATTTTTGCATAAAGTTTGTTTTTAGCCCCTAAAAACCAGCATTGCAAAATAAGAATAAAATTGTATTTTTTCAGGCTACTTTTACCAACATGAAGCATACAAGCCAGATCAAGGCAAATTTAATTCAAAAATTATTTGACCTGTCAAAAATTAACTAATGTACCTATGTATTTAAAGTTTTATTTTGAATCGAAATATGTAAAAATGCATACCTATGCCTAGGGTGTTTTATTAAAAAATAAAAAGTTTAGACCATATCCGGTGAAACCGGAACTGACAAAAATATGAAGTAAAACAAAAATGTGACAATATTTTGACCTCAATTTTTTGTGCCTTTTTTATAACAAACAATTAAAAAAAAAATCACTTTATTTTTTATATTTTTTATAGGTATTGTATACATATTATATATATTATTTTTAGAAAATACAAAGAAATTAACCTTAAACTGATTTGTATTGATGTGGGACCATTTCTCTCTGGGTGAGACTTTTTGATGTAAAATAAAATATTTATTTAAAAAACTGTAAAAAAAATTAAGAATTCCTTCATTTATTAAGTAAGAACCGGTATATTGAGAACTTTGTTCTGATTTTAAAAATGTAATATTTTTATTTACATCCATTTCATTTCTTAAGAACAAAGGGCAAAATAGCAGTTTTCCCACAGGCTAAAGTTCGCTTTAAGTTAAAATTGAAAAAAGTAGGTTTATTGACAATTAGTTAAAATATCAAATGAAATTGCGGTAGTTGAATAAAATATTATTTGCAACTATTGGTCAAAAGAGAAGATTCCACTCTTGTGAAAAACTCTTTCTCCCACTATCAACCAAATAATTCTTTGGTAAAATATGCATTATTTTTAGATACATTAATTAAATACAAAAAAGTTATTTATTTTTAAAATCAGAACAAAATCTCTGTTTAAATTTGTAAAAATAAATCATTTTATTTGAAAAGAATAAATATATAGAGGAGCCACCAAGTATCCTTCTATGGATATTTTTTATCCAAACTAAGAGGTCGGTTAAATTTAAAAAAAATCGTAATTGCAAGACTGTTAAAATGGCATTTAAAAATTGTCAAAACCAAAAATCGATAAAACTATTCTAATCCTGGATATATTTTTACATTTAAACATACACAATTATCTACATTTTCATCCAATTTGTAATTTTTTCGCCTACTAGATTCTGAGTAACCACCACCATATTTTTTTTTCTATGGCCGTCATATTGGAATTTTACATAGTTAGATTGAAAAAAAAAATCAAGAATTCCAACGATGTATCAAACTATAAGTTATGGCGGCCATTATAAAAACAAAAGATGGTGATGGCAACTCAAAATATAGTAGCAAAAAATGGGATAAAAAAGTGTATTAATGTGTATGTGTATAAATGTATTAATGTGTATGTGTATAACTTACTTGTTTTTAATTCCCAGGAATGACGAAGTTAAGACGATTTTTGGTTTTGAAAGGTTTTTAGTTTTTTTCAAATATTTTGAGAAACGCTGGGTTATTTAATTGCATGTTTTTTAATTACGCAACTTTTTTTCAATTTAACCGAATTTATAAAAACCCTCAAGAACTTTTTAAATTTTGTCTTCCAAAAGTTATATTTTTTAATATTTATAATTGTTGAATAGTTTTATCCTAAACTTTCCAAAGAACAACAATTTTCCAAAGAACAACAAAGTTAGGCGGCCTTTGAAACAAAACACCTCCACACCTCCACCACCAAGGCCCTCCTTGATATCCGCGCTTGCAGCATACAAATGGTGTTTTATCGTTAATTTGTTTCCGGTAACCCGCGACCCGCAACAGAACAACATTTTCAGTGGACCCTGACACACACATTGACTCAATCGAGCAAGCGGAGCAAATGACAATTGAAGGCACATCAAAGTGGTCGTGCAAGATTGCAATCACAGGTATTGCCAGCTGCATTCTATCGGGAGAAAAACACATGTTTGTACACCTTGCAAAAATTAATTGAAATGTCGGTAAAGTACAGAAGGAAGCTCAAATAAAATAAAAAAAATTGTTTTGTTTTGGATGTAAGTGAAACTTTGTTTTTTCGTTATAAATACAAATTACAAATATTTATTTTTAATCTTTCTTAAATTTGTTTTTGAACTTAATTTTCTTTAATATAAATGTCTTGAAATCTTTTATACAAATTTTTATTTGAGCCTTCCAATCGCTAAATCTTTACCCTCATTCAAAGTACTGAATGCCTTTTACTTTTTATAAAAACGAACTTTTAATCAATCTACTTATATGGTTTATTCTCTCACATTGCACATATAACTGTTGGACTGGAATGATCTCTATGTTTGACAAGATTCAAAATTAAGTATACTTCTATCTTTGCCGTCGGACTTTATTCGATTTGTAAAATTTCATGACGTGCTCGTCGTAAATTCTAGAACAGACAATACAGTGCTCAACAAATAATTTATCTTTTACGTATTCGATGCAATTTCCTCAAAAGTCAAATTGAATTTATTTTATCCGGGACTACAATAATAAAAACAACGTGAAATATTCTCATTGTGTTGCGTTACAAAGTTAAAAAAGATAGAAGTGTAGTTAACAATGACGCTCTACTTTCTTCTTGATTCTACTTACTACTAACTATCAATCTTTTCTTGCACCATTTTGGCAATAATATGTTTTTGCTGCTTCAAAGTGTTCACGCCATAATAATATTCAGAAAAAGTTGACTTGTTCAACAAAATATCAAATATATTTTTAAATATTGAATTTTGTTAAAAAGTACGAAATGTAACTCTATACTACTGTCTACTACTCAAAATGGAAAACGTAATAAGGGTTGTAGATCGAGACTTTTTTAAATAATAATAACAATAATATTTTTTATTTGAATTTTTTTTTACAAATTATCGACTTTTTTTCTCCATTATCTATGGTGGTATTTTAAATAATTAAAGTATTTTGAAAAAGTCGCGGTTTAATATCTACAATTTTTGTGTTAAACATTTTGAACAAAAATATTAACCAACAAAGATATAGAAAAAACAAAAGAATATCAATAATTCAAAAACAAAATCTCTATTACGTTGTTCCTCTTAAGTAGAAACACTATACAATATTAAGGTATTTTTTGCTTAATGAGGGTATAAAAATTTAAATGGATAAAACATAAAAATAATTAAAATTGTCTCGTAAATACACCATATCAGGTGATTCAGGAGGTTATTTTTAGGTAAAAAAAAATTTTTTTTAGTTTTTTTAATTTAAATTTTATTTTTTACTAAGCTACCTACATAAAAAAATTATGAAAAACAATTTTTTAATGAAGTTTTAAAATAAAAAGGAAACATGTCTTAAGCTATGATGATTTAGAGTAAAATTAATTTATTAATTAATTTAATAATTAATAAAAACAAAAAAAAATAACTTAGTACTTTTAGAATAATACAATAAAGACAAGCCTTTTTATAATTTTTTTACAGTTAATTTTTAAATTTAAAAAAGTTTCTTTCGTTTACACTTTACTACTTTTTAACATTATTTTTGTTTTTTTCTATGTGAAAAAGTCAAAGTCAGAACCGTTTATTATAATCTATATTTTTTTAAAGTGTTTTAGGTGTTTCATACCTGGTATAGTTATAAATGTTTTGTTATATATATTTTTTAATCCCCATGTATACCATTTTTTGGCTTAATAAAAAACCTGATATAGTTTTACTTACTTTCGCTCTTTTATTTGACATTTTTTTTATGAATATTATTATTATTCCTAAAAAATGTTTATTTTATTCGAAATAAATTCATTTCGCTCATGAGCGAAAATAAGTTTAAAAACTTTTGTTTATTGTATGTGAAATTTTTTTTAATTTCTCAGATTTTCACTGCTTTTTTTAAATCCAAAGGAACACCAAATTTTTTTTTTAAATACCCATCTCTAATCTTTTTAAAGAAAATAAAATATTTGTAAAAAATAATTTTTATTTGACAGTAAAAATACAGGGTGTCCCATAATTAGCGTGCAATACTTTAACAGCAGATTCTACGTACAAAAATAAGAAAAAAAGTTCCTATAAACATAGGCTGGGAAATGCTTTCTAAGGGAACTACACCCCCTAAATGAGGAGCCCCTGAAGATGGTTTTTATTTAATATATCCAAAACCGTTCAAGGTAGAAAAGTAAAATTTTGGGAATTAATCAAACTTTTTATGTCCAATAAGATGCAATATTAACAATTCAAAATTTCCATTAGGGGTGGGTCAGATAGATAGGGAATATGGGTTAAAAGCACCCTAACTTTTTGTACGTGTCTCGTGCTAGGATTTGATGTCAGATTATGAAATTTCGGAATTTTACAAACAAAAAAGGTCCTCTTGTTAAATCCACTGTTTTCGCTTAAAATCCATTTAAAAATTACCTTACATAGCATAAAAGATCATAAAGAATTCACAAGAGAGAAAAATTCAGAGTGGGCCATGGAACACAGCTGCCATCTTTAGAAAAAATTAAGTTTCATGTAAAATGTGACAGGGTGTTTAAAAATTGTTTATGGCCATGTCTAAAAATTGTCCATGGCCTACGCTGAATCTTTTTTTCTAGTTGTGATTTCATTATGAATTTTTATGCTATGTAAGGTCATTTTTAAATCGATTATAAGCGAAAACGGTCCATGCTATCGAAGTTCATCAAGAGGACCTTTTTTGTGTGTAAAATTTTATGATCTGATATCAAATCATAGCACAAGATACGTACAAAAAAGTTAGGGTAGTTTTACCCCCACTCCGTTTCTATCTGACACCACTTGAAAATTTTTAATTTGTTCCAATTTAATGGCTATAAAAAGTTTGATTATATCTCAAAATTTCACTTTTCTATCTTAAACAGTTTTGGAGATATTAAATAAAAATCATCTTCAGGGGCTTCTCTTTCGGTGGCTGTAGCTCCCTTGAAAATCATTTCTCGACCTATTTTTATAGGAACTTTTTTTCTTATTTTTGTACGTTGAATTTGCTGTTAAAGTATTGCACGCTAATTATGGGACACCCTGTATATTCTTTATTATTCTCATTATTTTTACTTCTTTTTAAAACCCCAAAACATTTTGAATATTATATAAATGACAATTTTTCCTCATTTCTTTTTTTTTTCATACAAATTAAGAGATGCTGAAAAAGTTTTTGGTTTTTAAGGTTTTTTTAGTATACTAACTAAGAAATATTTGATGACAATTTTCTTTAAAATAGATACATGTAAAAAAAAATCAATAAAAAAAAAAATTCTATAGAATTTTTTTTTTGATTGATTTTTTTTACGTGTATCTATTTTAAAGAAAATTGTCATCAAATATTTATTAGTTAGTAAGACTTTGAAAACCATTAAAACAATGGTCAAGAATATTATTTTCTAAAAAATTAAAAAAGGTTAATCCGCGGAAAATACTGTTTAACTTAAATGTAACGGTTTATAAATATTAAATTCGTAAAATTTTAATTTAAAATCGTATATAGGATGCACCAAGTATGCTGCCGTGCTTAATGAAAACGCCGTAACCAACAATTTTGCGATTTTTGGTTTACGGAATTTTCTACTAGAACAATTCATCCTGCGTCTATCCCCGGTACTCAAAAAACCGTATCTATATCTATACGGTTTTTTAAGTACCGGGGATAGACGCAGGATGAATTGTTCTAGTAGAAAATGCCGTAAACCAAAAATCGCAAAATTGTTGGTTACGGCGTTTTCATTAAGCACGGCAGTATGGGTTTCTTTTTTATTTATAAAGCTACGTTAGTTGGTAAAAAGTACACTAAAATGGCATTCAAAATTAGAACAAAAATCAGCGGTTCTGAAATAATTTGAAAAAAAACTGAAAACCTATTAAAACCAAAAAAAATCGTTTTGAAAGGTTATTATCTTTTTCAAATATTTTAAGGACCTGCTGGTTTTTTCCAATTTTTTAAATTCTTGTAACTACTTTTCTCTAATTTAACCGACCTTAACTTGGTGCACCCTGTATATAATTTATATAAAAAAATATCTTTTATTCGCTAAAAATTAAGAATAAACATTTTCGTTATATTATTATGGCTACAACAATTATAAAAAACTAAGCATTAACCACGAACACTTTAAAGCACTCAACATTAAACAACTTCGTAACTCACCTTATATGAGTGCAAGAAGCTTCTGAAGCAATAATTTTTCTCTCTCGAAAAATATTATCTGCATTACGAAACTTTTTAGCGCAAAGCATGTTAAAATTAAAAACTTTGAATCTAGTTCTTTGCTTTCAATTAAAAAGCACGACTAAATCAAATTTAAGAGAGACCAACCGACTAAATACTAAACTAAAATAACATTCTTGTATTATGGTTGCTCGGGCTTACTTCGAGGCATAATTAAAGAATATAAGCTCAAGTAAAAGTTTTTACTTTGGTAAGAAGTAACAGAACTTAACTAAGCTATATGTTAAACATCTAAAAAATGGGAATTAATTGTTTTATAAGCTAAAAATAAATACATTAATTGACCGGAGAGGTTTTTCTTGAAATTTGCGAATTTACTTGCTATAAAAATTATCTTTATGGAAAGAAATAAACTAATCAGAGCACAGCATTATCCAACGCACCTAGTGAGCTTTGGAGAATACCGTGTTTCGATTGGTTTATTGATTTCTATAGAGATCATTGTGTATAAAAAGTAAGGTCAAAAATATCAAGAAACCCTTAATTATTATTGTTTTACGCTTTAAAAAATGTCACACGAATTATGGTGGATTTTTGCTAGAAATATTACATTTTATTCAAATTTTATATAAATGACTGTAATGCAGTAAAGATAAACTTAAATATTTTATTATGGTTTGCTCCCTAATCTATAATTTGACAGGTTGCAATGTCATCTAGATTATGTTTTGACCTTTACTTTTTCAATTAC